ACAGAACACTTTAGTGTTGGAAATGCTTGTGGAATAGACAGCATTCAAGTTCTATTCAATGCTGAGGTTGTATGAGTCCTCTGCTCACAATAAAGGAAAATCAAAAGGACCTCTAGTCCTTAACTAGGGAAGAAGTTTCTACCAGGAATGTATATATTTTTGCCCATGTAAGAGGCATGTCACAGCAAAAGGTGGGCATATTAGATTAGATTATCCTGCCCATTACTTTTATCCAGTTTCTACTATTCTATTGCATTATACATAGTTTAAGATCTTACTTTGGCTTCCCATGTAGACTTTGTTGAAGGATGACAAATGTTTTGAATAGCTAGCTAGACTATTCCAGTCACTTGGCCATTAGATTTCTTACAGAAATTAATGAATCCAGAAATCAAATTAATCAGTGTTTTCTGAGTGCAGTTATTGCAGATCAGTCTAATCTTGCTGGAATGCATGATAAATTTGTGTTTCTGGCCTGAAGAGTTGAGAGCCAAAGTGAATTTTAATGATCCACTAATGTGCCTTCTGCCTGCTTAAACAGCTGCCTAAATGCCACACATGCTGGATGACAAGTTGGTATTCTGTATCATTGTCTCTACTTCCTTTATTTTACTTTTTTAAAGGCAAGGTCTCATTCTGTCACCCAGGCTGGAGTATAGTGCCACAATCATAACTCACTGCAACCTTAAAATCCTGGGCTCAAGCAATCTTCCCACCTCAGCCTCCCAAGTAGCTAGAACTACAGGTGTGCCCCCAAGCCCAGCTAGTTTTTTTTTTTAAGTTTTCTGTAGAGACAGGGTTTCACCATGTTACCCAGTATTGTCTTGAACTCCTGGCCTAAAGCTATCCACCTACCTCAGCCTCCCAAAAGGCTAGGATTACAGGCATAAGTCACTGCACCTGGCCATTTATTTTTAACAATATTAATAATAATAACCAGCAGTGATAATGGAGAACACAATATAACAAAATGAGCTATTAAGAAATTTAACTAATTTTGTTTTAACTTGATTTTATTATTTGCTGCTATAGACAACTCAGGAAGAAATAAAAAGTAATATTCCCTTCCCTTGCGAAATTAGTCAAGCCTTTGGGTTTCTAGGGGTCAAGATGTTTTATATGGAAAATGCACATTTAGGTTCTTAATTCTGATTGTGGGTTGAACAGGGAAAATCGAGTAGACTTCCAGGAATTTTGAAAAAAAAGGATTTATTTTTCCTTGGGGACAGAGAACTGAGCCTGCTCATACCAGTCCCACTGAGACGGCCACACCTTGAAAGGGGCACAGTCTTGAGCACCAGGTTTGGGAGCCTGCAGGAGAAGTGCTAAATTTCCCCAGACCAAAGGGAGCTACTGCAGAGCCACCCTCCATGGAAGGACCCCTGCCCCCCACACCTTCTCTACCCCTAACTGTCCCCAACATATTGCTGAACAGGCTGACCTTGGGGTAATTAGACGAGGCACCAACTAGGACACTGGTTCCCCGACACTGACATCGTGTGGTCATAAGGAGCAAGGGCAGCAGAGATATGCAAAGGCTGAGAGATGGTGTGAGCCCCATAGTACTGCACAATCTCGAAAATGGGAAGACAACTAAAATTACTAATAATCAACTTCCCAACAGCATGGCAGGCAGGTGGGGGCTTAAACTCTTCTTATTGAATCCATGAAAATAAAAATGTGACACCACTTGAACTCAAGTGTCAAGGAGTAACTCATACATGTAACCCTGGTCCCAATATTAATCCCCAATGTCCTTATCTAAAGAACACCCCCACAAACCCTTATCTGTATCCTTAGTCTGTTTTCTTTTTCTTCAGAGCTCAAAACCAGAACGCCCTTGTGGTTCATGTGTTTACTTGTTTTTATCTGGTTTACATGTTTACTTATTTATTACCTGTCTCTTCCTACTGGAATTTGACTCTATAGAGGTATGGATCTTGTCTTTTTTATGTGTCACTGTATCCTCAGATTTTATTTTATTTACTTTATTTGTTTATTATTTATTTTATTTTCTGAGACAGACTGTCACCCTCTTGCCCAGGGTGGAGTGCAGTGGTGCAATCTGCAGACTCTGCCCCCCAGACTTAATCAATTCTCATGCCTCAGCCTACCAAGTAGCTGAGACTACAGGTGTGCACCACCACACCTGGCTAACTACTTGTGTATTTTCAGTACAGACGGAGTTTCGCCATGTTGACCAGGCTGGTCTCAAACTCCTGGACTTAGGCAATCTGCCGGTCTCAGTCTCCCAGAGTGCTGGGATTACAGATGTGAGCCATCACGCCTGGTAGTATCCTTAGATTTAAAATAGTACCTGGAAGACCCTAAGAGTTCAGTAAGTACTTGTTGAATGAGTGGACAAATGAATTATATACCTGAAGCTTATGGAGCAAAAATGATACCTCAGCACTGCTATGCACTTGATTTATGTCACTTAATCTTTGCAACAGCCCAAGTAGGGGGCTATAATTATCTCATTTGATAGATAATAGAACAGAGAACCCAAACTACCCACCACTGAGCTCTACTGTCCCTCACCATTCCTGATTTCCATCTCACTATTTACCATTTCCAAGAACAATTCCTTATATATCTCCCACTTTTCCTCCTTCAGGTTGGGTCATGCCCCTTCCCCATTTGCTCTCAAAATAGCTTACATGTAACTATCATTCATTACAATTGGTGATGGTATCTCCCTCTAAATCCTGAGCTCCCTGAGGTGTTCATGAGACCTAGCATAGGGCCTTGAACAAAGTAGGTATTAAAAATGTTGTTATAAGATAGTGACTGAATGAAGGAGTATATGACCGTGCTCCTCATCCTTAACCACCCCAGTCCCACTTCTAGCTTTTTATTTTTTTCCTTCTTTTTTTTTTTTTTTTTTTTTTTTTTTTAAACATGGTCTCGCTCTGTAGCCCAGGCTGGAGTGCAATGGCTTACCTGCAACCTCTGCCTCCTGGGCTCGAGTGATCCTCCCACCTCAGCCCCCCAAGTAGCTGGGACTACGAGCACAAGTCACCACATCCAGCTAAATTTTGTATTTTATGTAGAAATGGGGTTTCATCAACTTGCCAAGGGTGGATTCGAGCTCCAGAGGTCAAGTCCTCCACCCACCTTGGCCTCCCAAAGTGCTAAGATTACAGGCATGAGCCACCGCGCCCAGCCCCTTCTGTGATATTCTTGCTTTACTGCTGCAGGGAACTCTCCTCAGCCCCTCAAGAAGGTCTACCCTGTGCCAGACACAGTACTTAGTGTGGGAAATACAGAAATGAATAAAACTGTCCCTACTGCAAGGGAGCCACAATCTAGTAGAGTGGAGTGGGGGCATAACCACAAACCCTCACAATCAGTGCAGTTAGCACTGGAAGTGTGCAAGTGGTGCTTTGAGAGAAGGAAGAGAAACACCTGGCCCTGAAACAGGTGTGCTTCTCTAAGTTTGGCAGGACAGCAGGGATGAGAGTGAGAGCACAGAGCGCAGTGTGACTCAATGGTAGCATGAGGGGAAGTGGTGAGAGATGAGGCTACAAAAATAGGCAGGGACCAGACCACAAAGGGTCTTTATTCTGAAGATAATGGGGAAGCACTGAAATATTTGAATCAAGACAATGATGTGATGAGATTGGCAGTTCAAACACTGGTCAAGTGAAAGTCCTGAAATAAGGCAGCCGCTGTATTAGAAAAGTGGACAGATTGCAGAGGTAAAATCAATAGAATAGCTGTTTCCATGTGGGAGGGGGATGAGAGAAAGTCCTTGAGCCAACAAGGACTCCCAAGTTTCTCTGTGGATGACGGTACCATTCATCGGTAAAGAAAACACAAGAGGGGGAAATATTCTGAACCATACCTAGTAGGGCCTGCCACATAGTAGGTGTTCAGTAAATGGCTATTGAATGAAATGGAATTTAAAAGGTAGACGATACTTGCTACTTTTGAAGTACTTTTCAACTGCAGCTCAAGACAGGGGTATGAGGTGTATGCAGCTGGTAGGGGAGGCCTAGGCATGAATGTCAGCCGAAAAGTACCCAGAGTAAAAAAAGGGCCAAGAAAGGAATACTGGAAAACCCAAGTTTTAGGAGGTGCTAAAGGAAGAAAAGACTAAGAGGAAAACCATTAGTTGACACTTAGTAAGCAACTACAGAAAGGACTGTACTCGATGCTTTAAAAAAAAAAATTGCAACTGTGTGTTCCCATGAGGAAAGTTTAAAGAGCAAGTGGTCAGAAGGATATTTCTATATGTCACTAGAGTCTAGAACCCAGGACTCCGTGGAAACTGGAGAAATCGTACAATGATTCCAGGTTCTAACATTTGTCTTATTCCTTGTAACTGCCTTCCCACATCCAACTGCTTCCCCATCCCTTCTCACGGAGTCTGGTTCGGGTGAAATTACTTTTATTGATGGTGAGGGCAAGCAGGTGTGAGTGGCTGCACCTCTTTCAGAGGACACAGGACTGGGCTTAAGGAAGGGAGGGCCAGAGCGCCCGCCTTGGTGGATGCAGGATTCGCTCCTTATTAGGGCGTGAGTGCTACATTCTGAAAGGATTTATTTTAGGACAAGGCACAAGCACAGGGGAGACAGGCAACACCAGCCCTCAGGCTGCACTCTCTATTTGGAGCGGAACTTCTTTGGCATCCCCAGGTCTCCTGGGATCTTCCTCGGTGTCCTGCGGAGGCTCTGGCTCCAGCACCAGCATGGGCTCCAGCTCAGGCTGGGCTTCCAGCTGGGCTTCAGCGCTCCGGCCAGGCCCAAGGCGAGGCGGCTTGACCGGGGTGGGCGGTGGCGCTGCAGGGCCTTTCCGGCCCGAAAGGGCCCTTCGGAGGCTCTGTACCTTCTGCAATCCGGTGCGCCGCAGCCGCTGGGCCCTGGACTCCACCGGCTCCTCGTCCGAGCTCTCTCCAACTTCGGCCTCCAGCTGCTCTGGGCCCAGCTCGGACTGGTCCTCCGGGCCCAAGGGCTCTGGTGCCTTCTGGAAAGCGCTGGCTGGGACTTCACCCTCCTCCTGCATATGACGGACACAGCACTGATCCTGGCAGCTCCTTACCCCCAGCAACCCGAAACTCACGCCTTAATTACACAAGGGAAACCTTTTAACTCTGCAGCCAGAGTCTGGGGGTAAAGGCAGGCGTGGGAAGGTAAGGGGAGGGAAAGCTGCGTGCGAACTGCAAAACTTTGTAAAGTAGGTGAGGCCTGGTGAGGGGCGAGAGGAGGATGGTGCCCACAGTCACGGAATGCCCTTTCAACCACCGTTATTTTAGGGATTGACTGGGACTTAGACCAAATTCTGCGGACGTGGCCTGAGCTAGAGCTGGGCGGGCTTGGATTGGCCAGGCGGGGCTCAGGCGTGAGAGGGAGGGATGGGGCTGGGTCTTGGGAAATGGGTGCGGCTCTGCGAGTCTGTTCCACAGCAACAGACGGCGAGAGGGGTCAGGAATGTGGGTGTGGTAGGTGGATGGAAGCGGGGAGCCCCCAGCTGGTGGCCCAAAGGCCGGCAAAGGCCCCGGACTGGGGACCATTTGAGGTCACTGACCTTGAAGAGCAGAACGTGGAGCTTCCCGCGCGCCACCAGCAGCCCATGGTTGGCCTCCAGCCGCTGCACCTGGGCTGCGCGGCGCACCGCGCGCTCTTGGGCGGCGTTGGCGTGAGAGCTTACGCGCTCCGCCTTGGCCAGCAGCTGCGCCAAGGTGTTGCTGGTGGTGTCGTGGCTGCGACTCAAAGCGCCCAGGCCGCTCTGGATGCGGCGCACGGACCCTGCCAGGCCTCCCTGCCTTCGAGCCAGGCCTCCCTGCCGCTCCCGCAGCGTCTCCAGCATGGAGGCCAGCTTCTCCAGCAGGGTCACCACCGTCACGGCGTGCACGGGACCCCCAGCCGGCGCCTCGGGCACAGGCCCCGGCTCCAACGCACTCTCCCTCATGATCCCTGACCGCTCAGCTCCGTCTGCCTGAAACCGCTGGCTGCACTACAGTCTGGGGCTGCCTTTCCCTGGCTCCTCCCCAGCTCCAGCTGTGACTCAGGCAGGCGGAGTTGGCCTTCTGGGGCAGCGGGAGGGCGCAAGGGCGTGGGGATGTCGGCAGCGGGGTCCCTTGAAAGCGTTTCGCCTTCCGCTGCCCCGCCCCGGGGTACTGGGAAGCATGTTGGCCCCAAATCGGCCCCCTGCAAACCCTCTCACTGTGAGTTTGAGTTACCCTCCTCCGCTCCAGTTCCCTGGTGTGCCTGTTTCTGGTCTCTCCACTGCAAAGGGCGAGTTACGGAAATTTTTATTTCATGCATAGTTTCTAGTGGGCGCAGAAACTATGTTGGCACGGCAAGAGGGGCCTCAGTCGCCGTCCACTTTCGGCCTCCCACACCGCTGAAGATTGTATTTTCGTGGCTCCCAGGCTGACACAGGCGACAGGGAGGCCCTGGAACATTCTGCTTACAGATCGCGAACTGTCAAGGCCCGAGGCCCCGCTTTGTGACTGGACAGGCTGCTCATTGTGGGCTGGCGGGCGGGGCATCCTCTGGTGTTTCCCTAATAGTCATCACCAGGGTTTAGCCGCAGGCTTCGTTTCCTGCTTCTCTATTTCGTCCTCTTGGGTAGAATTATCCTGTTTCTTTTCTCTAGCCCTCTGCCCTCTCCTTCTTTAAATCTCAGCCGCCCCTCGCTCCAGCACCCAAGCTTGGGGGATAAGCAGGACACCTCCTCACCTCTTCTTTTAAAACCCTTAAAAGGGTTAGAGTGAGCACTGGTCTTTGCTTTGATAGAAGTTACTTGGGCTCCTGCCTGACTTTCTTTTTTTTTTTTGGTTTGTTTCTTGTGTTCTGTGGAATGCGGAGAGTAAAGATAAATCGCTGCTACAGCCGGGCGCGGTGGCTCAAGCCTGTAATCCCAGCACTTTGGGAGGCTGAGACGGGCGGATCACGAGGTCAGGCGATCGAGACCATCCTGGCTAACATGGTGAAACCCCATCTCTACTAAAAAAAAAAACTAGCCGGGCGAGGTGGCGGGCGCCTGCAGTCCCAGCTACTCGGGAGGCTGAGGCAGGAGAATGGCGTGAACCCGGGAGGCGGAGCTTGCAGTGAGCTGAGATCCGGCCACTGCACTCCAGCCTGGGCGACAGAGCGAGACTCCATCTCAAAAAAAAAAAAAAAAAAAAAAAAAAAAAAAAAAATTGCTGCTACGGAGAGGGAGAGGGTGGGCGTGGAGGATCCAGTTAATGATGTGGATTGTGAATTTCTAATGTCAGCAGTTCGAAAAATCCCATGCCTTAGCCGGACGCCGTGGCTCACGCCTGTAATTCCAGCATTTTGGGAGGGCGAGGGGTGAGGATCACGTGAGGCAAGGAGTTCGAGACCAGCCTAGGCAACATGGCAAAACCCCGTCTCTACTAAAAATACAGAAATTAGCAGGGCGTTGTGACACATGCCTGTAATCCCAGCTACTCAGGAGGGCTGAGGCAGGAGAATCGTTTGAACCTGGGAGGCAGAGGTTGCAGTGAGCCGAGATCGCTCCACTGCTCTACAGCCTGGAGAACAGAGCAAGACTCCATCTCAAAAAAAAAGGAAAAAAAGAAAGAAAAAAGAAAAGAAAATCCCATGCCTTGTTTGTAGCAATACTTGGCAAACCGTCTCACAAATGCAAGTAATCCATTAATCCTAATGATCTCTCTCCCTCTTCCTCTTCTCACTGAACCTGTGAGGGCCACTTGATAACAACTGTGGAAGAAACTTGTGTCACTCTGGAAATAGTTACATGGGCCTAAAGTGCCACAGACAGTGGGCAGCTAACGCCAGAAATCTGGTGATGCTAAGTTGATGGCTGGCTTCTACCAGGCCGTAAGCCTAAGTGCCCCCCCACCCCCGCCCGGCTTAATACAAGAGAAAATAAACTCTCTTGGGAATCTGATGGGAATCACCAATCACCATCTCTTCCAGTGAAACTACATTTACCCAGAGAGATCCATCAGGGATGTACCAGTTAAAATGCTTTCAGACTGAGGGAACAAAAACTCATTTCAAACAGTACTTAGTAACAGGAAACTCAATTCAAATATAACTGAAAAAGACCATTGGTAGAGTGGTGATTAAGTGTGAGTCATTCACAGCTCCAAATCTGGTTCTCTGCAGTTCTCTCAACTGCTCAACTATGAGCCCCATCCCGCACCTCTCACACTCCCCTATGTCCCCCACACACCCCCTACCCCTGTGTATGTGCCCACATACACACAGGTGTCAGCTTCATTCCAGGCCTCACAACTCTGCACAAGATCTAAAAGAAAAAGGGGACTATCTTAAATATTAGGACATTTATTTTCCAGAAGCCTCCCAGAATTTTTACACTTGCCTTCCATTGGGTTACATGGCTTTTCCAAATCCATATTCTATGGCTACAAAAATGACATGCATTGATAGGTTTAGATGTATGTTCCCTAACCAATCTCTGACAAGAAATCTAATAATTGCCTTTTGACAAGTTAGATCAATTCTGAAGTAGAGTAGATTCAGCTTTTCCAGGAGTATTAGGGTGGTATGGAAGGAAAAGTGGGTATCTGTACAAAAATCTGGGTACTACTAGGAATGGATATTAAATTACAGGAAGCCTATGAAAGAATCACCAGCCTTGATGAGTGGGGCTAAGGAAGTTCAGTGCATTTGGAAGTAAGAAGTACTTGGATAGATACTTGGATAGATTTGGATAGTTTTTGTTTGTTTGTTTGTTTGTTTGTTTGTTTTGAGACCAAGTCTCGCTCTGCCGCCCAGGCTGGAGTGCAAAGGTGCGATCTTGGATCACTGCAACCTCCACCTCCCGGGTTCAAGCAATTCCCCTGCCTCAGCCTCCTGAGTAGCTGGGATTACAGGCACGTGTGACCAGGCCCAACGAATTTGTGTATTTTTAGTAGAGACGGGATTTCACCATGTTGGTCAGGCTCATCTTGAATTCCTGACCCCGTGATCCACCCATCTCGGCCTCCCAAAGTGCTGGGATTACAGGTGTAAGCCACCACACTCAGCGTAGATAGATATTTTTTTAAAACCTGGTAACGAAGTGGCATTGTTGTCTGGAGTAAATACCCGAGATTTGTTGTCTCACAGCTATGGAAAAGTAGGACATGGACACACAAAGAGTGAGGTTCAGCGCAGAAGTTGAACAGACAAAAGAAAAAGAAGAGCTCTCTGCAGCAGAGATGGGTCCCAGAGAAATGGGTTACTGGTTCCGCAGTGGAATGCAAGGGATTTTATAGGTGACTTTAAGGAGGCAGTGTGTCATTTATATAGGGCACAAAAGATTGGTTGGACCAGGTGTGCCATTTGCATAGAGCACGAAAAACTGGTTAGGGCTAGGTATGCCATTTGTATAGGGCACAAAAAGATGACCATCCCCACCCTAATCTTTTATTTTGCAGATGGGTTCTCTACCTGGCCAGTACCATGTTGCCTGTTTCTTTTCTGTACATGTGGTGACAAAGAAAAGGGAAGATGAGCCTCCATGTTGAACATACCTGGCCCCCAGGTAACCCTTTTCTATTGATACAGGTGCCGGCATTCACTCCTGCAAGCTTCCAACTTGCTTATCTATGTTTGCAGCTTGATTTTTCAGGCTGTTCTTTGTTAGAAAAATAAATGATTTGGGGGCTGTTTTTTGTTAAAAGGGAAATTCTGCTGAGGACTCTTTTACCCTCACTATCTGCCTAAATAATTTTTTTCCATCTCCTGTAGCACTAACTCCCTCTCTGGGTATATGGAACAAGGACGACCTTAAACTTAACAATAGAACCAATGATGGTTCTACCGGTCTCCCCAAAGCCCCAAGTTTAAAAGCCATATGAACTGGCTGATAGTGGAAAATGGAAGCCCATGAGGTAAGTAAAAATAACTTGGGGCCAGCTAGAAGAATGCCTGAGTCAATAAAGCAGAGATTGATAGAAATTGTAGTAGAGTGACCTTGATTATAGAGTATCAAAGGAAGAGCTGTATTACAGTTTCCAAAAAGGGTAAGAAAAGAAGAAAACAAAGATGTAGAATGATGCCCTCTGTTCAAAAATAAATTTAGGAACCTTAAAATTTTAAAGGGTTTATTTGAGCTAAGAACAATTCATAAATTAGGCCAAAAGAAGTTTAGAGAGCTCAGCTGTAGCAGTGTGGGCAGTGAGCTTTTATAGGCTGAACATGGAAGTAAGACAAAGAAAATATATTTGATTCATTAATACGGAAATTCCTTAGTTAGAGGTTAGCTGGTGGTTTCTGATTGGTAAGGTCCCTAGTTTTCTTTTACTTTTTACATTGGGCTTTGGTTTGCTTATGTAGGAATCAAATGTGGTGGAGCCATCTCAGCCTGAGGGCCTCCCAATTGAAAATCGTTTTAACACCTCTAAGGCAGTTGTCTTAAAAATTTCTATTCTCAGCCAGGTGCAGTGGCTCTCACCTGTCATCCCAGCACTTTGGGAGGCCAGGGCAGGCGGATCACCTGAGGTCAGGAGTTTGAGACCAGCCTGACCAACATGGAGAAACCCCGTCTCTACTAAAAATACAAAATTAGCCAGAGATGGTGGCACATGCCTGCAATCCCAGCTACTCGGGAGGCTGAGGTGGGAGAATTGCTTGAACCTGGGAGGTAGAGGTTGTGGTGAGCCAAGATTTCACCATTGCACTCCAACCTGGGCAAAAGAGTGAAATGCTGCCTCAAAAAAAAAAAAAAAAAAAAATTCTATTCTGTAAACTAGAGGTATGGCTGGTGGCATCTACTCTCTCATACCCCATGGTATGGACATGAAAAGCAGAACCTTATTGTCACAGGTTGCTTGTGTCCCCAAAAAGATATATTTAAGTCCTAACCCCTGGTGCCTATGAATATGACCTTACTTCGAAATAGAGTCTTGCAAATATAATTAAGATGAGGCCATAATGAAGTAGAATAGGCCCTTAATCCAATGCGACTGGTGTCCTTATAAGAGAGGGAAGAGATATACAGGGAGAACACCATGTGACGACAGAGGCAGAGATGAGAGTTATGCTGCCACAAACCAAGGAATGTCCCAGAAACCAAAAGAGGCAAGGGAGGATCCTTCCCTAGGAGCTTCAGAAGGAACATGTGCCTGCCAACACCTTGATTTCAGGCTTCTGCCCTCCAAAACCATGATAGAATAAGTTTCTGGGGTTTTTGGTGGTGGTGGTGGTGGTGGTGGTGGTGTTTGAGACAGAGTCTCACTCTTGTCACCCAGACTGCAGTGCAATGGCATGATCTCGGCTCACTGCAACCTCCACCTCCTGAGTTTGAGTGATTCTCCTGCCTCAGCCTCCTGAAGAGCTGGGACTACAGGTGCTCACTACCACACCCAGCTAGTTTTTGTATTTGTAGTAAAGACGAGATGGGGTTTCACCATGTTGACCAGGCTGATCTCAAACTCCTGACCTCCAGTGATCCACCTGCCTCAGCCTCCCAAAATGCTAGGATTACAGGTATAAGCCACCGCACCTGGCAAATTTCTGTTGTTTTAAGCCACCTGGTTTGTGACTTTTTTTGTTTTGGTAGCTCTGGAAAACTAATAACAACTTTGATTAATCAACATCAGTATTACAGTATCTCATTACCCAGGATGCCCCTGCAAATGACTTCTCCAATTATGTGAAAGTATTAGATTCTCTGTAGGAAATGTTAATAAAACCTGAACACTCCCAGTAGAACATAGACAATTAAACCAGTAGTTGGCCAGATATCTTGCAACAATTAGTGGAATACTATGGCAGTTGAGCTAACAACTGCTTTAAAAAACTAAAAGGTATTACCCATACTGCTTGTCAAGGGTTCCATTTATATACTGGCCCACCCCGTCCCCAGAGCACAGCATACTATGACGAAGAGTTGGCTGTACTAAGGAGAAAAAAATCCACTACACCTTTCATTAGACCTGGGGCTGCCTGAAATATATCTACCTAACAAACATCTGCTTAAGGGTGGCCCTCTGTCTCTACCTATTCAAGAACAACTTGGTGCTCCTTTTACTTTAAGGAAATCTCTGAAAAAGACAGATCAGATTGTAGTGTCTTAGATGGTATCATTCTGCATCTTTGTTTTCGTTCTTCTTTCAGTTGCCTGGTGCCCCACTATATGAAGTTGCCAAGATCCCCTAAAAACAAAAGTGACAAAGGCACTACCGTTCTTAACATCATACCCAAGAGGATGAGTCTGTGCCACTGGGTTCAGAGAGCATCCACCAGAAATCCAGCACACAGGGATTACCTAGAATAGTAGTGCTTAAACTCACTCACGACAGGTAGTGAAACACGTGTAACACCTCCTGCTGCAACAAAGAAGAGGGAGGTGTTACAGTCAGCAAATGTTTCACCTTGGAATTTTCACACACTCTGTATCTTGGGTCATCCAAAAGGCTGCATACTTTCAATAGGATTGAGAGGAGCCTCGGTGACTAACACTGGCAAGAAGCCACAGTATGGTCAATTCTAGCCTTTGGGTCCTATGATTCAGAAAGAAAAATGAGACCATGGAGTCTCTGTGATTTCTACCTCTTCCACCAAGATGATTCGTCAAGGAGGGAGGGGGGCAGATCCTATAAGGGAAAATATAGCATAAGTATTTAGGATGTTTGACTAAGGAATGCTTTTAGCAGCTGAGAATTACACTGCTTTTGAAAAACAATTGCTGGCTGATTACTGGAGGGGAGTAACAGTGCTAGTGAAGAGACTCAACAGAGGTCGGTGAGTGGTTTTGTGAGTTGGAACCCTTTGTCTCACATAGCAATGTAACTTAACAGTCTTTGATTATTAAATAGAAAAATCAAAATCTAAGAAAGGATGAGAGGATATCTATGTGAGCTCATTATAAAAGACACATCCCTGACCAGGACCCTCACTTTCATTTGCCCGGAAAAACTGATGCATCCTCTGGGCACTAACCTTTAAATCAAAAGTAACAATGTGAGGCACAGATAGAACCACTCATTTAACAGGCAGTGGGCCTCAGTAGACAGGCACCACCTTCCACCCTTTGTCATAGACATCCTGTCCACGGAAGAGGTAAGGTTATTCCACACAATGAGGGAGCTCTGTGTCACTGGCAGTTACAATAGCTATAAGTTTGAGGCATCAGGAAGTGAATTTGTACTGACTCCAGAAATTAAAATATCCAAATGGATGGAAGATCTTGGAATGGTATATTATGACCAGTAGGCTTAGGGATGCCTTTTATAGCAAGAATCAGGCACATTATTCACTCAAATGACTATTTTTGTATCTCATATTTTAGTGTGTTGAATAGTGTCTTAGTCCATTTTCTGTCGCTATAAACTGAATACCATGGGCTGGGTAATTTATGAAGAACAGAGATTTATTTAGCTCATGGTTCTGGAGGCTGGGAAGTCTGACAGCTTGGTGCTGGCATCTGGTGAAAGCCTTTTTGCTTCATCATAGCATGGTGAAGGCATCATATGGCGAGAGGACAGGAGTGTGCATGTCAGCTCAGGCCTCTTCTTCTTATAAAGCCACCAGTCCTATTTTGGGAACCCCACCGTGTTGACTTTATCTAATCCTAAGTACCTCCCAAAGGCCCCACTTCCAATCAACATATGAATTTGGAGATTAAGTTTCCACCACATGAAATTTGGTGGACACATTTAAACAATAGCAAATAGTGTCCCCCCAAAAGATATGTCTAAGCCCTAACCCCTAGTACCTGTGAATATGACCTTTGCAGATATAACTATATCTTTGCAGATATAATTAAGTTAAGGATCTTGAGATGAGAGCATTCTAAATCAAATGCCTGGTGTACTTATAAGTAGAGGAGAAGCCACAGAGACACAAAAAAGATAATACTATGAAAATGAAGGAAGAGATTGGAGGGCAGCCACAAGCCAAGGAATACCAAGGATCAGAAACGAAGAGAGAGGCATAGAGTGGATTCTCCCTCAGAACCTTCCAGAGTGAGTGGCTCTACCATACTGATATTGTATTTCTGCCTTCTTGGGCTTTGACAAAATACACTTCTGTTGTTTTAAACCATTTAATTTGTGGTAACTTGTTATGGCAGACCTAGAAAACTAGAACATATATAGACACCTACCAAAAAGATTAGGGATAGAAAAAACAATTTAAAAGCAAGTAAATCCATCAATATGTCATGGATGTTTGTTTTGGCCAAGGCACACTGGGTGCATCAGAGCACTAGACACCTGAGATGAGAACTAGGTTGGCTGAAGTTCACATTTTGAATATGTAATTACTGCTGGAGCCAATTGTCAGGATGTAGGAGTTTGGGCTCCTTCAGCAAAAATGCCCTGGGACATTCCAAGACGCAAAAAAAAAAAAAAAGTCTGGAACTACTAAATAGACTCTATTGAATCTCTTTCTGTAATCTGAGGAATTCAATGGGCTCTGCCAGCAGGGAAGCCTTGCCTGGGTTTGAGTTTGCTTTCTTAGGCAAATCACTGAGAAGCCACCATCAAAGGACTGCAGCCCTCCACCTTGAGCTAATATGGTATTTCTCAACTAAAGCCTCTAATCCAGGAATATATTTTACCACCCATATGATAAAGGACAGGGCAGATCGTTGGGGGATGATGTGCCCTACCTCTCACCTGGATTGAGAGAGATAGAATAAACCACTGAGGAGGGGCTTGGCCATAATTCCATGGTCAGTAATTCCAGATGGGTAGTCACTTGCAGACTATTGTATATAACTAGAGCCCTGCAATTACTTTTATCTTAGCACAGACATCCCCCTTTGTATTTGGTGCTGAGTCCAAGGAAAAAGAAGTCATTTTTAGCCATCCAGTATCTACCACAACTGGGAAATAATTTAATTTTTATAAGATTTAGGCACTATATTAGTTAAATGGTATTTACTATGAGATTTTGTTTGAAGAATAACTATCATTTGTTTACTGTCTAAAGAATAGATAGTTGCTAATCAATTCAACAAAGGAAGGGAAAGAAGTGAGTCTACCCTAGGCAAAGAACAGCATTTTCTCTTCCACCCCATGCCACTTTAGGGCAATTGACATGGTTTAGCACTATCGCACAACACAATTTACCCTACCGAATATTTCTCATCTTCTTTGGATTCCGTGGATTTTAGAAGCAGGACAGAAAACTGCTCAGAACCAGACCATATGTACAACAATCCATTTACTAAGCCAGCCAGGGAGGGCAGTAGAGAAGAAAGAGTTAAAATGTTTTAATAGGTCTAAAAGCTTACTCACTTAATCGAAAGGTGAGAATGATTCCTGAGACTAGTAGACTTGTTCTTAAGAATGGTACTTCAACTTTTTGGCATTGAGACCCCCATCTGGTTAAGTGTGATCATATCACAATAATCCATTGAGTCGCCCAGAGATAGTATACTGTGCAAAATCAATATACTGCCTGCTATTCAACTTGCCTGTCTGTAGGAACTGCAGCTTAATCACGACTCCTTTTTATTGTGTGGATTTGGATGAAGGAAATATTAATTGTCATAGGTAGGATTAGGGTTTAAGATACTCTTTTTGTCACCAAGTGGCATTTAAGTCACATAATGAATGGGCTAAAGAGCAGTAAGCAAGGCATTCCTGCCCGTAAAGAATGCAGAAGACTGCTGTAGTGCCTGGACCTGGCAAAAGAGACTAGAAGGGAAGAACTGACCTTGGAGTCAGGTCTCCAACCACGTAGATCAGTCAGAGATTGATTTGGTTGGGAAGCTAATGTAGGAGGAGGAGTGCTGTAAGTAGCTGAAACCATGTAATTGATGTGGGCTAAAGATGATTTAGACAACGAAGAAAGAAAGAGAAGGAAGAAAGGAAGGAAGGGAGGGAGGTGAGCAAGGAGAGGAAGGAGAGACAGAAAAGAGAAGAAAAAGAAAAGAAAGAAAGAAAATTACTCATATATACTTCCACACGAAAACTTATAAAATATATTGAGGCGACCATATACTTATACAGCTCCATCTATAATGGGAAAATTTAGGAGACAGAAAATCATGGTGTTTGGATTGTACTGTACTTTCAAAGGCTGAAACGTGAATCCTCAAAGGAAAAATAGAAATTACTCTTGAACTTGTTGGGATTTGAAGTTTCCTCAGGAAATCAGATTAGAGGACTACCTGGTGAAGCCTGGAGGACCTATCAAAAAAAAAGGAAGCTTGGATCTTTGCAAGGTTAGAAGAACAAATGGGATCCAGAAAAAAGACTGGTCATATTCAGTGGCTAAGAGCATTGGAGAAGGCCTGTGGAATCTCAGCAGGTCAGGTCCATGACTCATGAGTAGACACCTGTGTTTCTACTGCCTGGTGCCATAATCATAAACAATGTGAGCAGGGGCAAATAAGATCCTAGTTCAGTACTATTCACTATAAATATAATGTGTGTAAGTTAAAATTTTCCAGTAGCCATATTAAAAAAAATTTTTAATGAAATTAACTTTTAAAAAATATTTCATTTAACTCAATATATCCATCATATTGCCATTTTAATATGTAATCATATTTTTAAGTATTAATTACACATTTTACATTCTTTTAGGTCTCTGAAATCTGATGTATATTTTATATTTATAGAACATCTCAATTTGCATATTCAATGTTCATTAGAAATGATGGCTCTCTGTTTAGACTTTGATAAAAGAAAAACTTCAGCCAAATTAAGTTTAAAGGAGTTTAATTGAGCAATGAATGATTTGCAAATTAGGCAGGTGCCAGAATCACAGCAGATTCACAGAGACTCTAGGGGTGCCTCGTGGTCAGAAAAAAACTTATACACAAAAAGGGTAAAGTGACATACAGGAATCAGAAGTGAGGTACAGAACCAGTGAGATTGGTTACAGCTCGACATTTGCCTTATTTTAATGCCATTTGAATATTCAGTAGTCTATGAGTGGTTGAAGTATGGCCCCTGCGATTAGCCAACACTCAACTATTGTTACAGGTGCACACCACTAAGTTAGGTTTTCAATTTTATCTGACTATTAAGCTAGGTTACAGTTCATCTACAAAGACTCAAATATAGAAGTACAGAGTCCTTCTCAGGCCATATTTAGTTTGCTTAACAACTTCATAAAATGAAAAAGTAGATTTACATACCCAAGTTGTTCCAATATACTTAAAAGTTTCCAATAACTGAATCAAGTATACGTTTTTAAATTTAAATTTAAACTAATTAAAATTGAATTATGTGGGATATGGGATGAGAGAGAAAATCAAGAGTTAATCTCTGCAGGAATCTGGGCCTAAGGTTCCCTTATTTGACTGATGTTTGTATTTTCTTATTTTGGTAAAAATTGACTCCCGTGTAGATAGTAGAGTGACAGAGGAGGAGCCCAATCCCACATAGATATAAAAGGTGGAAGCCGGCACGGTGTCTCATGCCTATAATCCCAGTACTTCGGGAAGCCAAGGAAGGTGGATCACCTAAGGTCAGGAGTTCAAGACCAGCCTGGTCAACATGGTGAAACCCTGTCTCTACAAAAACACAAAAGTTAACTGGTCATGATAGCAAGTGCCTGTAATCCCAGCTCCTCAGGAGGCTGAGGTGGGAAAATCACCTGAACCCAGGAGACAGAGGTTGCAGTGAGCAGAGATCATACCATTGCACTCCAGCCTGGGCAACAAAGTAAGACACCATCTCAAAAAAAAAAAAAAATAGAAAAGAAAACAAAAAAAAAGAAAAGGTGGAATTAATGTCCCAAGCCTCTAAATTTCTTTAGAAAAAAGAGATAGTGCTCCATCAAACTGAGCACATTGCTGCCTCAGGCAGCTGGGCACTGAGAAAGTGCTCTCTGGTCTAGAGTCACCAACTCACATCACAGAGCTTGAACCAGTTGCTAATCAGTTCTTGAAGGTGGGGAGGAGATAAAACGTGACCCTGCAGTCACTCCCCTCACCATCCAGCCTAGCTTTCTGGACCTCTAGATCCTTTCACCCTCCTCTGTGCCACCTATTTGCTGATTCCACCTTTTTATATATGCAGTCGATCCTCATTATTCATGGATTCAGTATTTGCAAATTTGCCTACTTACAAAAATGTATTTGTAACCCCAAAATCAACACTCAGGAGTTTTTGTGGTCATTTGCAGACATACACAAAGGGGACAAAAATATGAGTTGCTCAACAGGGAACATTCCCAAATGACGTCCAGTAAGGCAACAAACCCTTCTTGTTTCAGCACTGGTACGGTAAATATTAATACATTTTTTTTTCACGATCTATGTAGTGCTATGTTTTCAATTTTTGTGCTTTTTGTTGGTAATTTCACTGTTTACAGTGGCCCCCAAGAGTAGTGTTGAAGTACTGTCTGTTGCGCCTGAGCACAGGCTGTGGTGTCTTAACAGAGAAAATACATGGGTTAGGTAGGCTTTGTGCAGACATGAGCTATGATGCTGTCAGCTCGGAGTTCAATGTTAAAAACCCAGTAATATATATTAAATAAGGTGTTTTTAAACAGAAACACACATAAAACAAGGTTATGTATTGATTGGTTGATGAAACTGTTGTGACTATGGCTTACAGGAACCTAACTCCGCATTTTCCCCAAAAGAAAGGGTTCAGTGGTCACTAATTTGGTGTTCTCAGCAATTTTATAGATTATAACTACATCAGATAATGAAAATTGACTCTTTATATATAATTCTATATAGAGAGAGAAAATTTTATATATATACACTAAAATTTTATATATATATAGAATTACATACATATATATATAATTTTAGTATAATTTTCTGTTTTTTCGACTTATAACCCAAGTATTACCTAGGTCTCCCTTTGTTCCCTAGAAATCTAAGTTTGGACCCTACCAATTCTATTGCCTTTGAAAATCTAAAGTTCTCCAGGACAGGTAGAAGCTGCTCTACTTCTCCAGGAGAACAGCCAAGAGTGAGCCAAGATCACGCCACTGCACTCTAGCCTGGGTGACAAAGCAGGACCCTGTCAATAAATAAATAAATAAATAATCCTGGAGATATTTGCTAATTCCTGAACTCTATTTAAAAAATCTACTGCCTTCCACCTCCTTCTCACGCTGGCCCTGGAGGGTAGCTGCTCTAGTGATTTCTAACAGAATTGATTTTTGTTAGGCAATTGTAAGCCTTTCATGAGTATTAATTAAATTAATCCTCACAATGACCATCTGAGATAGGCAATATTACTATCCCACTTCACAGTGAGGAAATGGGGAAACAAAGAGATTAGATTACTTGCCAAGATCACACTACTGATAAATAGCAGGGCTGGAATCCAACCCTGGCATCTGCTCCTTAGGCAAACAAACCATGTTACCAAAAATATCACAGCAGCTAGAGAAGCAATCTGAATCCAGTGAATTTGGAATTGTTGAAAAAAAAACATTCACTACCACATAACTATTTGCATATAGCTTCACATACTCTTTGAATTTATTTCTTTCACTTGCTACCCAGTGAAGGAATCAGGAGGATCAGAAAGGAAGAGGAACGTGCACAAAGACCATAACTCTAAGTGGCAGCATCAGGGTTTGAGCCTGGTCCAAATTAAACTTCATCTCCATTTCCCATAGGAAGAAATGGAGGACAGGAGGGGCCAAACAAGTTACAGTTTCATCCCTCCAGAGGACCAACAGAGTATTTTGCACGAAGTTGAAGCTAAACATGTATTATGTCCTATCTCTGGACTGAATGACTAGATGCTACTCGGCTCCTCAACTAGAAGAAGCCTGGGACCTTGACCACACTAATGCTCATGACAGGGGATTTGCAGGTGACTAGAGGTACCAGATTTAACAAATAAAAATATAGGGTGTCTAGTTAAATTTTAGTGTAAGATAAGCAACGAATACCTTTTCTAGTATTAGTGTGTCCCATGCAATATACTAGAAATGCTATTCATTATTCATGTTAAATTTAATTTTAATGGGGCATCCTGTATTTTACGTGTCAATCCAACCCATGACCTCAGCAGACACTGTAGAAAAACAAAAGGAGAATTAAGGAGATAAGTGAAACAGAAGGTGAGCTGAAAAGAGGCACTGTGTGAATTTGAGGGTCCAGTAGGAGCTGACTTGTAGGTACTTGGTCTGTTTTGATGCCCACAACAACCTTGGGGAAGGGGCAGAATAGCAGAGGGGTAAGCTTTCTGCCCCTCCAGGTTCTGTAGGATACCAGGGCTTCTATCGGCACCCCTATGTTCAAATCCTGGCTGTACCCTGCATGGTTGTATACACTCTGGATAATTCACTTAATTTAAACCTTGCTGCTTTTATAAAATGGATAAACAAAAAGTTAATAGTGACATTCATCACACTGATGTCCCTCAATGAATTATCAATATGTTTTTCTTTCCCATCTATATTCTTTCTTTATTGAACTCTATTATTTTTGATCCTGGTTTAGAGTAAGCATTATGCCCTTACAAGAGTGAAATGAAATTTTTAAAAATAATTTTTTAATGTTTTCTGAGTGCTGAGTGTTTTCAACGATCATGCATGACTGGCAGCAAAGAGGAACTAGGATGGTTTCGATAAGGAGCAACAAGTCCTGAGCACACGCAGAGAACTGGCTGTGAATCCTGTTTCTGCCACTCACCATTTACTTGTTGGGTAACCTTAGCCACTTCATTTATCCTCTCTGATCTTCAGGCCTACCTCATTTCCTCCCCAAAGAGATGGTGGGTAAGAGAGAACTTAGCAAAATGCTGCCAGAGCATAAATAGGTCTTATGACTATGTAGCAGAAAAATGGGACCTCAAAGAGGAGGGAGACTTGCAGAGTGGGGTATTGCTGCCATTCTTTGAATAGCAGCTGAAAATATTTCCCCAAATTCTCCCCATCTGGTCAGGATACCCCACAGCCTTTTACTAAGATGGTGTCTTCATCTAGCCTCAGCCCAGCTGCAGTACCTTTGTGGAACTCCCACCACTGATGCTCAAGAGGAGAGTGTAAGTTCAAGAGGGGTAAGCTGTCTATCCACCCGCTCATCCGCAGTCCCTCAGACAAGCATGCAGATATATGCTTTGGTTGTTTGGTTGGTTGGTTTTGTTTTGCAACAGGGTCTTGCCCTGTTGCTCAACTGGAGTGCAGTGGTGCAATCACAGCTCACTGCAGCCTCAACCTCCCAGACTCAAGTGGTCCTCCCACCTCAGTCTCCCAAGTAGCTAGGACTCACATGCCACCATGCCTGGCTAATTTTTCAGTTTTTCGTACAGACAGGATCTTACTATGTTGCCTAGTCTGGTCTCTAACTCCTGGGCTCAAACAATCCTCCCACCTTGGCCTCCCAAAGTGCTGGGATTACAGGGGTGAGCCACCGCACCCAGCCCAAGCATGCTTTTAGATTGTACTCTCTAAAAATTAATGTTTGTTCCTGGGAGCAATGCATGAGCTAATATAACAAGTCTATTAATCAAATGAACTGACATAATTCCTACTAACACATGTAGGAATATTGAAAAGGAAATTCAGCCAGGAAGATCTAAATCCACAACAAAGTGCAAGCTATTATATTATCACATTGAAAAACACAATCCAGCCACCTGAAACAAGCAGTGTAACCCAAAAGCCATTTTCCTAAATTTGTCTAAGGGTTTCTCCAGCCCTACACTGTCCAATATGATAGCCACTAGCCACATGTGGCTGTTTAGTTTTAAATTTTCATTAATTAGAATTAAATAAAATGTAAAACTTTTTTTTTTTTTTTTTTTTTTTTTTGAGACGGAGTCTCACGCTGTTGCCCAGGCTGGAGTGCAGTGGCGCGATCTCGGCTCACTGCAAGCTCCGCCTCCTGGGTTCACGCCATTCTCCTGCCTCAGCCTCCTGAGTAGCTAGGACTACAGGCGCCCGCCACCGCGCCCGGCTAATTTTTTTTTGTATTTTTAGTAGAGACGGGGTTTCACTGTGGTCTCGATCTCCTGACCTTGTGATCCGCCCGCCTCGGCCTCCCAAAGTGCTGGGATTACAGGCTTGAGCCACCGCGCCCGGCCATAAAATGTAAAACTTAATCCTCAGCTACATTATCCGTATTTCAAGTGCTTAGCAGACATATGTGGCAAGTGGCTACAATATTGGATGCATCCCTCTCCTCAGTACAATCCCACAGGGTGCGTGTGGTCCCCAAACTCCTTCCCAAACTTCCAAGATGCCAAGTATAAATACACAGGCTTCTCTGAGAGATGAGAAGAAAGAAATAAGGAAATCTTTCATTTAGCCAAAAAGCCATGTCTTGACAAGAAAAGATCAATATAAATAAAGTTACAAGGCAATTAATGGAGAAGTGATCTCTTCCATCAGCATTTGGACCATTTAAAGTCGATACAAAAGGATATAGAAGACTAGTTTCTGAAACAGCCCCATGTTTTAGGACCTGGATCAGGACTTTCAAAAATATATACTTTTTTTTTAACTTTTATTTTAAGTTCAGGGATACAAGTGCAGGTTTGTGACAAAGGTAAATTTGTGTCTGGGGGGTTTGTTGTACAGATTATTTCATTACCCAGGTATTAAGCCTAGTAACCATTAGTTATTTTTCCTAATCTTCTCCCTTCTCCCACCTTCCACTTTCTGAAAGGCCCCAGTGTCTGCTGTTCCCCTCTATGTGTTCATGTGTTCTTATCATTTAGCACCCACTTAGAACATGCAGTATTTGGTTTTTTATATCCTTAGGATGTGAAAGGATAATGGCCTCCAGTTCCATCCATGTCCCTGCAAAGGACATCATCTTGTTCTTTTTTATGGCTGCATAGTATTCCATGGTGTATATACCTTTTAATGTAGATTACCTTGATTACAGGAACAATATTGTTACAGATTTTATCATTTTTGAGAAAGTATAATGAAAATTGTGTCTAACAAAGTAATAAGATTCCTTTCTGTCTATACGGTGAAAATGCTCAGGATGTTCACTACAGCCTGCCTCACCCTGGAAAAGGGATGTGAGGATAATGAGAAAGATGAGTATGTTCAGTGTGGAGCATGCAAATTTGCATGAAAAGTAAATGTAACCTTGTGCCTAACTATGACTGGTTCCCAGAGATATTTTAGTTCTCAGTTTTAATAACGTGTCTAGCACAGAAAAGCCTACAACATAAAAGGGTCCAATACAAATTTACTGATTTAAGAAAAAATAATGTTTGTTTTGCTAAGAAAGGTAAAGCACCAATAAGAAATGAATCATACTTGCAGTGAGATAGATAGATAGATAGAAAAAATAAGTTAAATTTAAAGTCAAATAAAAATCCAATGTCAATTGGATAAGAAATTGATGTTTAAGTCTAAAAAGTAAAGCTTGTCTTTATTTTGTCCATATTTTATTTAATTTTATTTGTGATAGGGTCTTGCTTGCTCTGGAATCCAGATAGGAGTACAATGGTGCTACCATGTCTCACTGTAGCCTCAACCACCTGGGTTCAAGTGATTCTCCTGCCTCACCCTTCCAAGTAACTAGAATCACAGGCATGTGCCACTATGTCCAACTAATTTTTAAATTTTTTTTGTAGAGATGTGGCCTCTCCATGTTGCCCTGGGCTCAAGTGACCTTCCTGCTTCTGCCTCCCAAAGTTCTGGGACTACAGGCGTGAGCCACCTCACCTTGCCTGTCTTTCTCTTTTAATCCATTTCATGTTGTTTATGCTTTTTTTTTTTTTTTTCTGAGATGGAGTCTCACTGTGTCTCCCAGGCTGGAGTGCAGTGGCACAATCAGGGCTCACTGCAACCTCCACCTCCCAGGTTCAAGTGATTGTCCTACCTCAGCCTCCCAAGTAGCTGGGATTACAGGTGTGTGCCACCATGCGTGGGTAATTTTTGCATTTTTAGTAGAGACAGGGTTTCACCATGTTGGCCAGGCTGGTCTCGAACTCCTGACTTCAGGTGATCCGCCCTCCTCGGCCTCCCAAAGTGCTGGGATTACAGGCATGGGCCACAGCGCCCAGCCTGTTTATGCTTTTAACCAGTATCTACACTGGTTACAGTTTCTTTACCAAGTGAACTGACTCAAACTTTCATTCATACCCAAAGAGTCTGAACCCTTCATGAATTAGCCTAGAATGGTGTCAATGTTTTAATTAGCCTTTGCCACCAGGCATGGCAGTATAAGAAGTCATGCCACCAGCTCTCTCACTTTCTAATTATATTCCCCCAGGCCCCTATCATAATGGACCTTGGTCAGGTGCCACTTTTTTGCAATGAAAAAAAGTCTAGTCAAGCTAGCTAGGCCTTCCTGGGATGAGAGAATCTTCACCACTCTGGACCATGCCAAAATGCTGAGGACAGTAGCCACATTCTTTTGAGGCTCTATTGCTTGCAAACCTACTTCTCAAAATCCATTTATTTTCTAGACAGAGATCAGTTGGTTGCAAAGAATAGAAATTATCTCAGGTAACTTAAGTGAAGGAGGGTTTATTGTAAGAGAATTGGCGGCCACCCCAGCTCCCAAAGTAGACTGTTGAAACAATTTATTGAGTCTGGAGCCTTTCCTGAATTAACAAAAGGGAGGATCCATTAAAGGATAATACAGCTTATTTATTATTTCAATAGCTTCCCAGGCAAAGCAGGAAAGAAACCAGACCTCTTTTCTGAACAATAATGGCGCCTACTAACTCTGGGGAAAAGGTAAGATACCTTCTAATTGAGGAAATATATCCTTTTTCAATATGAGTCTAGATTGTACTCTTTAAAAATTAATGTTTGTTCCTGGGAGCAGTGCATAAGCTAATATAACAATTCTATTGATCAAATGAACTGACATAGTTCCTCCTCACACATGTGGGAATACTGAAAAGGAAATTCAGCCAGGAAGATCTAAATCCACAACAAACTGCAATCTTAGAGTCTTTTCTTCCTTCCCCACCCCCAGCCCACTTCTATACACAGAATTTTGCAAGGCTTGGATAAAAGTAGGCATCATTTTTATCTGGTTAAAGTCCTGGGGACCCTACCTCTAATTTGCACACTCAGACCAAGACACTTTGGTAAGGTAAGAATGGTAAATTTGGAGAGAAAGAAAGAGCCAAGAAGTGAGATCCCTCCTTGTGGATAGGTGTGGGGTTTTCCCAACCAAATCGATGGAGTTCCTAATAAATAAAATTTTAAAAGGAGGCCCATGGAGAAGGAAAAGTTGTGCATCTAAAGGCCAGAGAGCTTGTGAAGGATCTGGACCTGCAGGTAACATCTCTTTGAGAAGTAAAGAGAAAGTCTAAGGAGTGTTTTATTATTTCCTCTTTGACGTAGAATCACTCTTCAGAAATTGCCTCTTTAGTGAAGAAACCTGCATAGAACCACATGCAGAAATGGAAAAAAGATGTCCTGCTGTTATCTAGGATAATTAATCCTTTTAAAAAATTAATTTTTAAGTTGACTAACATGGAGAGGCCACATCTCTACAAAAAAAACATGCTGCTATAAAGACACATGCACACGTATGTTTATTGCGGCACTATTCACAATAGCAAAGACTTGGAATCAACCCAAATGTCCATCAGTGACAGACTGGATGAAGAAAATGTGGCACATATACACCATGGAATACTATGCAGCCATAAAAAAGGATGAGTTTGGGTCCTTTGTAGGGACATGGATGCAGCTGGAAACCATCATTCTTAGCAAACTATCACAAGAACAGAAAACCAAACACCGCATGTTCTCACTCATAGGTGGGAACTGAACAATGAGATCACTTGGACTCGGGAAGGGGAACATCACACACCGGGGCCTATCATGGGGAGGGGGGAGGGGGGAGGGATTGCATTGGGAGTTATACCTGATGTAAATGACGAGTTGATGGGTGCTGACGAGTTGATGGGTGCAGCACACCAACATGGCACAAGTATACATATGTAACAAACCTGCACGTTATGCACATGTACCCTAGAACTTAAAGTATAATAAAAAATTTTTAAAAAGTAAAAAAAAAAATTTAAAAACTAGTTGGGCATAGTGGCACATGCCT